TTGAGAAGCGAGCCATCCAGAAGGTGCCAAGTCGGGACATCCTAAACGGGTTTTACTCTCGGTACTTCACGGTACCCAAGAAGGATGGCGGTCTGAGACCAGTTCTTGACCTGAGGGACTTGAACACCCACCTCAAACCACGCCGGTTCAGAATGGTCACATTGGACTCAATCATTCACCTATTGAAGAAAGGAGACTGGTTCGTGGTTGTGGATTTAAAAGATGCATACTTCCACGTTACCATTAATCAAAATCACAGAAAGTACCTGCGTCTGTTTTTCAAGGACACCATTTACCAGTATGTGGCTCTTTCATTTGGACTTTCGACAGCTCCACGAACCTTCACAAAGTGCATGGCACCTGTGGCAGCTCACCTTCATCTACAAGGGATACAAGTTTATCCACACATAGATGACTGGTTGATTGTCTCCAGGTCAAGGATACAAGCACTGAAAGACACACAGTATGTTACTTGCACCTTGGAAGCATTGGGCCTCTCCATAAACTATGAGAAGTCCAATCTACAACCCACTCAGGTGATGGATTACATCGGAGCAAGACTGGACTCGTATAAACAAGTTGAGGAAGGCAATAAGGAAGTTCAGACCTCATGCGAGGGTGTCAGCAAAACTCGCCCAACATCTTCTAGTCTGATGGCATCAACAACATCTACCCTATTTCATGCTCTCCTAAAGATGCGCTCTCTTCAGTCTTGGATGCTCACTCTCTTCAACCCTCATCGAGACAGTCAGCACAAGCTACTAACAGTAACTCCAGAACTTGCTCTACAGCTACAGTGGTGGACATTCCTGCCACATCTCCTGGTTGGACGTCCGTTCCATCCTCTGCAGCTTACACGACAGTCACAACAGACACCAGTCTCCTAGGATGGGGAGCACATTGCGAGGGTCACCACATTCACACATTGCGGTCCCCTCAGGAAGCGTCACTCCACATCAACCATTCGGAGCTTTTGGCTTTCATAAAAGCACTCAGGGCTTTTCTTCCCCTGGTACAAGGCAGAGCAATACAGTTGGTGACAGACAACACCACGACCATGTTCTGTGTGAACAAGCAAGGAGGAACAAGGTCGAAATCACTTCTGCTTCTGGCAGTCCACCTATGGGAGTGGTGTTATCAGCAGCACATCTTTCCGGTGGCTATTCATGTCTCCACAACAGAAAACCAGGTGGCAGACGAGTTGAGTCGTCGCTCGTTTCAAACTCACGAGTGGGAGTTGGATCCAGTCGTGTTCCACACCCTGTGCTGCAGATGGGGGACACCCTCTATAGACATGTTTGCCACTTTGAACAACAGGAAGTGCCACAAGTATGTGTCACATGTGGGAAGAGGCGAGGGGTCACTGGGGGATGCCTTCATGATCCCCTGGCCCAAGGGCCTATTTTACCTTTTTCCGCCAATACCCATCATACAAAAAGCCCTAATCAGGACACTCCAGATGGAAGCAGAAGTAATTTTGATTGCTCCCTGGTGGCCACGACAACCATGGTTTTCCATGCTTCTACAGTCAGCGACGGACAAAATTAAGCTGCCCCTCATTCCACATCTGATCACCCAGGACTCGGGGAAGGTCCTTCATCCAGACCTGGAGTCCCTCCACTTAACAGCGTGCAGGATATCCCATCGATAAAGGAAGTCATTGACAAGGCTAGGAAACCAGCAACTAGCCGTCTTTACAAACACAAATGGCAAAGCTTTCTCAAGTTCACTAAAGGA